ATATTCTATACATCTGAATGCATTAATCATTTTGTGTGGAATCTAAATCAGAGGTGATCGATATAACACTATTAAAAGTTTTTAAACTTTCAATATCAATTTGTTTTCTTCTGTGATATAATTTTATATTATCCGAACAAATAGTATTTCTACAATAAGAAGTATACATGGGTTGGAGATAATTCTGCACAAGACGAGAAAGTGTATTAGCTCTATCATCGTAAGCGACATCTCTGCTGCAGCCACCTATGTAGTCATTCATTCACGAAATCTTTACTGTGAATATACAAAAATAGAAAGAGTATAACTAGAATCGCTAAACACTATTTCGGTCAATTTTGAGGACAGTCTGACCTTGCTTTACAACTTTTTAATAGGTGCCTATTTAAATGCGTTGTACTTAAATCGGGCTTCCAATTAAATTTTTTACCACAGTAATTGTAACATACTTTTCAAATATCAACTCTATTATGAACCCCAATTTTTTTAATGTCATATGTTGTCAACAATCAGCGAATTCTTTTTTCGACCTATTAATCTCAAGTACTTCTCCCTCTTCAATATCCTCCATATCAATGGAATATTTTGAAATGCATCATAACTACATGTAGTACTTGAATTATAATTAAATTGATTAATCTCATTATTATTAAAATTTATTTATTACTATTATAGCAAATAATATTGAATATTAGAGTAAAAAAGATTTAATATTAGAGAAAGAAACTGAATATTGAGGTTGAAACTAAAATACTGCAAAATTTTATGAAACTCAACTAAATTGGAGATTAAAGTGAAGAAAATTGAAGACTAGAAAATTGAATATTGAGTAAAGAAATTGGAGNTGAAGAAAATTGAAGACTAGAAAATTGAATATTGAGTAAAGAAATTGGAGATTGATTGAAGTAAATTGATTTGAAGTTGTAAAAAATTTTCACGTATTTATAGCTAAAAATATATATCTATTTCAACTACATTTGAATTTCAAATTCAAATTTTGAAAAATTACGTTATCCATGGCTCTACCTTGTCAAAGGCAGTCTAAGACAGACTGCATTTGACGAAGGACAGTTGCCAGCAAGCAGCTATTTTCTAAGTTTTTTCAATTTTTTTTTAGCTGCCTGCAAGGAAGCAGGCAGCTGTTTTATTTATTTATTCTTTTTTAAAATTTTTACAAGCTCAACTTGGTTCGTCCGAGCCAAAAATGGCCATGACACGGGCCTGTTTGTGGCTTGCTCGAACTCGAGCCCTTGTTCCAAAATGGGGGTTGGATGGACGAGCCATTTTGACATCCCTAGTTAGAGGCAACTCAACGCGGTAGTGTGCAGAGTTCGATTCCCCGCAAGATGGAATTGACTTTGTTACAAGCGGGAGTTACCATAGGGTTAAAAGCCCATTTTAAGCTCTCCACCCTGGCTCCTGGGAGGCACATCCTGCGATTTACCTACTCCACAATGGCTCAGGGAAGGGTCGGTGGAGGGCCCTCAAGATTGGGGTTCAACTTTTTTTTAATAAAGGGAAAGCAAAAAGTTCAAAACATTTTTTGACAGGCTGTAGTCATTTCTTTGTTAGAAGGATTAAACTGAATGCCCCGGCTCAATGACCGGGGCATTTGACAGGGCGCCGAGGTGGCGCCCTGTGATTGGAGGGGGGGCTGAGGTCGGTCAGCCCCCCCTCCAATTGTATGGTGCCACGTCGGCACCTGTATGATGGCCCGGTCATTGAGCCGGGCCATCTAGCACTGTCCTTGTTAGAAACAGTAGAA